GGACCTTATTTGGGGGTTCACTGGATGAACCTCCATACGGTGGTTCAGTATGAGGGCTTGAGGATGCAGTGCTAGGGGCTCCAGAGCTATATCTTTCGGTGCTGGAGTGGTGTGGCATGTGGTGCCAGTGATTGAACCTTGGGGTCAGCCACATCCAAGGCATGCCCCTTAACAGCCTGTACTGTCTCTCCCCCCGCCCCCATTTTCTCTTTTTAAGACTGATGGAATAGAGTTGGGATGTAAGTTAGTGGTAGAGCACTTGCCTTGCATATATGAGCTGGTTCACTTTCCAGTACCATCACAAAGAAACCAGATAAAGAACAAACAAAATGATCCTATAATGAGAGGGAAGTTGATGCTTCTTGAGGTTAAGAGAAGAGGTGCTAGGCTGGAGGAATGTCCCTGAGCAGTTAAGAGGGATAGGGGCGTAAAGGATTAAATGTCATTAAGTAGGAATCTGCATTTCCTTTAAACCTTTTTTTTTTTTTGCATTTAAATTTACTCCAAGCTGTTATGCTTTCTGTTGAAAATTAGAATGGGCAGTAAAAAGCAATAAAATTTATTGTTGCAAAATTAGTGTATCAGCTTGGTGTAGTAAAAAAGGTGGAATCTTCTGTGTAAGGTGACATTTTAAAATATCTTTGAATGACAGTTATCTGTGCTATTCTAGTCCCTTATCAAAATTTATGATTGAGCATACACTATAAAATTAATCATTCGAAATTTTGTAGTGAAATGAATTTTAACCTAATGTAAACATTACTATTGAACTTTTTCTTAGAAATTGGCTTGTTTTGGGATATATTTTCATCATTTGCAAAGGGTTTAGATATTTTATGAAAAGTAGCTGGGAAGTAGTTATCACCAACTAATTAATACTATTTTAAATTTTACAACCACCCCAGAAATATGAATTATTTATGAGGTCAGATTAAAGCATTACCTGTAATGGTAGCTGTTCACCTGGAGAGGTGAAGGGTCTGGAGTTTGCAGTTATGTTAACAAGCTAATATTCATTTTTAAAAGCAAAAATAACTTTATTTACTCCAAATAGTTTTTTTAGAATTAGATTTCCAAGAACAAGTCTATATTTAAACAGTTTAAGCCAACATGTACATTTTTTAAGTACTTTGGTTACAAGTATAACATGTATGTGATGTGAGAAACAAATTAAGTGGGTTTAGTGGTACTTAACATGAGGAAATTTGCATTTGAGACTTAAATATGTTTTGCATGTGGGTAGAATAAAATAAAATAAAAAGGTTTATAAATCTTTGTTGCTAATTTAGTTTTCGCAAATTACAGAAAGTTTTATCAATTTCCAAGGGGCAGTCAATTGTTAATCTTCAGAAGAAACATTTTGGTAGTTCTAACACAGGTAAAGCTCTTGCTGTACACGTTGATGACCCACATTCAAGGCCTGGCCACCAATATGATCCCTCAGACATCACCAGGAGTGATCCCTGAACGCAGAGCCAGGAGTAAGCCTTGAGCACCTCTAGGTGTGGTCCAAAAACCAAAACCTAAACAAAATTATTGGTCGATAACTTACTCCTTTGGGGTATCAGATCTCTTTGTGAATCTTGCCAAACCTGTGAGTCCTCTTTCCAGAATTCTTGTACATACAAAGTTTATCATATAGTATTGTGTAGTTGGCAAACTCCTCTGAAGGCCCTGCATGGGAATCCTTAGGCGTGAAGGATCTCAGGTTATAAGACCTGCCCTACATTATTTAGTTATGTGAGTTATCTTTAAAATGCATTTAAACTTTTCAAAACATTTGTCCACTATTCTTGTTGTTCTTTTCATAGAAAAGTAGTTGTTGCAACTGGTTAAGAGGAAGATGGGGTCAGTAGGCTCTTCTCTACCAACTGGCTGTGTTGTGACCTTCTGGGAAGTCACTTAACCTCCCAGGCTTTGATTTCCTTTGTGGTTTCTGCAAGTTGCTAGAAGCAGTTTTGTGAACAGTTTCATAAAGTTTCATGATACGGCAAAAATCTTTTTTCAATTTAGGATGGACTCTGCTACTGATTTTGGAGAAAATGCCTTCTATGATCATTGTGCTGCCTTTGTAGTGAATTCAGACGTGTTTGACTCTAATTTTCTTAAATGCATCATAAATTAAAGTTCAGATCCAACCCTATCATGATCACTTTTCATTTCAACATTTTATTTATCCTTGGTTTAAGCCATTGCTATCTTATCTTTTGCATATATTACCTCCAACTTTTTATAGCTGGCTTTATTTTTTCCCCAATTTTCTTGATGAACTTAATTCTTTAGTCAAACTTACCAGTCTTTTCTTTTCCATTTATATCTTAAAGTTGTTATATTTTGTTTCCTAATCAACTCTTTTTTTATCCAAAGTCTATCATTTAACAAATATTGTTGTGGGAGATGACTGTATAAGAAAGTATTATTTTCAGACCAGAGCAGTAGTACATCGGGTAGGACATTTGTCTTGCACATGGCCGGTCAGGGTTCGATCCCTGGCATCCCATATGGTCCCCCGAGCTCTGCCAGGAGTAATTCCTAAGTACAGAGCTAGGAGTAACCCTGAGCATCTCCGTGTGTGACATAGAAAGAAAAGAAAAAAAATGATTCTTAGTCCAAGTTAACAAAAAATAAATTAATTGGGAAAATAATTGCGCGGCAAAGTTTGTCACTCAGTTCATTCATTTAACATTTATTGCGTCCATTATGTGCTTACTCGTAGCATCCTGTGGGTATTTGTAACTGAGATACTATTGGCATGCTGTATATAAGTGTACAGCTCAGTTATTTCATGTATGTGTATATTGAAAAATGAATACTACAATAAGTTTAAATCCTTTACCATGCATAATTATTTTTTCCTTGTGAGATAGCACTTTTTAATTATCATATGATACTATAGATTTTTGTGTGGTTTTTTTTTCTTTTGGTTGGGAGTTATTCTAATTTTGGTGATTAAATTTTCACGTATATGGGCCTACATGCTTAAAGAATTTCTGGGTCTAGAGAGATAGTACTTTGGTTAAGGCACTTGCATTAAATGTGGGCCGCCTCCATTCAATCCCTGGTACCGCATGATCGGCCAACCATTGTTGTTCTCAGTTCTGGAGGCCCCTGTGCACCATTGGGTGTGGCCTGGTGTCCCTAAGCGTGACCTGGGTGGCCATATATGATCTCTAGTACCACAGGGCCTGAGCAGCACCATGTCCTCAGGCCCTCACATTGAACCCTTTATGAGAATTACAAGAAATATTACTTTGGAAGTCTCCCTCCCCCCAAAAGAATTTCTGTTAAAGAAAAGGCAGGATAAAATAGCAAATTGAGTTTCTTTTTGAACTGAATGTTAGTATCATGAATTGGCTACCTTTTAAAATTATTTTACTGTATGCTTGGTGTGACTATATGATTAAATTAAAAACTGTAATCTGGATGACTTGAAGAGTTTTTGAAATAGCCCCTGAGGAAATGAGAACCCTGTTCAAGTAATGTTAGTCAACAATATTTTAGACATGAAAAGATTAACTTACAGTTTAGGATGCGGAATATATACTTTAATAAAATATTCAGGGAAAGCTTTAAATTTTCTTTGCAATTTTAATGTGAAAAGGAGTTTGTGATAGGGAGAATTGAAAATCAGTTAGTATAGGAGGCTAGCAATGTAACTTGATGATAGAGCATTTGGCTTAAATGTGTAAGGCCCTGGGTTCAAGCCTCAGCACTGCTAAAAGAAAGAGAAATGGAAGGGAAAGAGAAGGAGGAAGGAAGGAAAGAAGGAAGGGAGGGAAGGAGGAAAGGAGAGAAGAGAGGGAAGGAAAAAAGGAAGTGAGGGAGGGAAGGAGGGACTCGGTATATTGTCTGACTTCACTTTTCTGGTCTTGAAGTCAACTAAATAGAGTTAAGTTAATGGAAAAAAAAAGAAGAAGAAGTCACAGGGGGCCAGAGAGACAGTATAGCTGGTAAAGTACTTGCCTTGAATGTGGAGACCTGGGTTCCGTACCCAGTACCCCATGTGGTCCCCCAGCACCTCCAGAAGTGATCATTGGGCATAGAGCCAGGAGTAAGCCATGAGCACTGCCAGTGGTTTCTAGAACAAACCCAAAGAAAATCCTTACAATTGATGAAAGCATCCCTGAACTTTGAATTTAGAACAAAAAAACCTTTATTTTCTTATTAGTTCTGTCCTTGATTGTAGGGATAGTTACTTTTGTGTTTCATGGTTTATAGTTTAAAGGAGGGAGACTTCAAGAATGTGAATGAAAAGTCTAACTTTATGATGATACATTATTATAAAGTGCTGTTAATTTGAATGCCTTACAGAAGATAAGCCCATTTAGGGACTGGACCAATAGTACAGTGGGTAGGGTACTTGCCTTGCACATGGCCGACCCTGGTTCAATCTCCTGTGTTCCATATGGTCCCCTGAGCCTGCCAGCAGTGATTCGTGAGTGCAGAGCCAGGAGTAACACCTGAGCACTATCAGTGTGGCCCCAAAACAAAAACAGCAACAGAAAAACAAACCCATTTCAAGATTAATTAAAAGAAGGCATTGGACCAAACTAAGGGCCAAGTTAAGGAAACCTGCCTAATTTGCTAATACAGCAATGATAGCAAAAACCAGTAGAGGTCATTTGGGGTGGATGAAAGTGTAGTGGGGTTTAATTTTGAAGAGGTTTAATCTTAAGTACATTTTTCTATCTCTTAAGAAAGGTAGACCACCAACTACTTTTCCTTGTCTTGAAAAATTTGGAAAATTAGAGATTTAACTGCCCGTGAATTTTTCTTACTGTAAAACTATCCCCTGCCCCCTCTCGTTTTAAAGCTTGGAGAGGGAGGTGTGTGTGTGTGTGTGTGTGTGTGAGAGAGAGAGAGAGAGAGAGAGAGAGAGAGAGAGAGAGAGAGAAGAGTGTGTGTGTCCCCTAAAATTTAATACCTTTAAGTCTTCAGCTTGTGATGTCATGTCATAAATCTGTGTAATCTAATTCTGTTTTTCCCTTCTTCTGTTATAGGGAGCAGTAGAGCTAAAGGAGGGCCAGTTTCCCCAAAATTGGTAAGTATGTTCATCACTCAGGCATAGTGTGCCTGGTACTAGTTGGAGAATTTAGATAATTCAAATATTTAGTGAGTCTTTTTTCTTCAAAAAGGCTCTCAGAAATGAGTCTTTATGATGAGTAAAAGTAAATTTTTGTCTTGATTCCACATAACCATTCACAAGTATTATTGTATTCCTAATAATACTACTAGAATTACATGTGATAATCTGTTAAAATGCAGTGGTTTCCTTTGCCAAAAGTGTCCTTAACACAGTGGTTAGGGCAGGAAATTCAAAAGTCAAGAATTTCAAAGTTAAGGTTCCCATCATGTTATGTATTATTTAATATGCTGTTATATTTGATGACCTCAGTATATATTTATGCAAAATGGCTAAGTTGGTATTATTGAGAGACCTGACTTTGAAATTTGGGACTCAAAAACATTTATATTCTACTTTAATGGATTGCTTTCATAACTTAATAGTACATTTTTGCTGTGTTATTTTGTATAATTCTTAAAGAATAAGAAAATTGTGAAAGAGAAATGTAGCAATATGTGAGGGGCCCAAGATGTGACTCAATGGTTAAAGTTTATGCAACCTGACTTGATCCCTGAATGTAATGTAGCAGTATGGGGTATATATATAAACAAACTTACATTTTTTCCTAATATATGCTTTAATGCTTGTAAGTCATCATTCCTAATCATTTCTTTGTCTAATTCAAGATCACAGATTGCACAGTGCATTTTAGTGGCTAGAGATCAAGTAAATATTAACCGTATTTATAGAGCATGAGTTACATTAAAAAAAAACCTAGACAAGATAGCTGGAATAAGGTAGCCCCCTAATTCAATGCTGTTACTTTTTTTTTCCATCCTAGTTCAAATAGTAATGAATTTACTGGGTGGAATAGATATTTGGTTAAGACTTCCTTTTCATAACCTACAATCCTTGGTTTGATTCTCTTAACTTTAAGGGATTGGATTGAACATGAAAAGGAGACATTTGAACTGGTACACTTGCATTTTATAAAGTCTTTTAATTCTAGATGGCTTTCTTCCATGGAACCTTTAAAAATAATCAAGACCCTAAATCCCTTTCGTTACTTGAGATGTGATAAAATCAAATTTTTAGAGAGAGGACCTGAAGGACTTTCTCTTCTAGTATTTTACCTATTAAGACAGTTTATTTTTCTTATCCCTTACAAATTGTTACTCACTTACATATTAAATACTACATTTAAGGTGTATCTCATTATTTTTTAGATGTATTGTGTTTAGTTGTATTAACTTCTAGTTCTACAGAATTATTGAGGTGGGTTGGTGGTAGGGAACATGTTCTATGATCAGGTAATTTGGGAAATAAAGCATTAAACAGGTTTCTCTACTGCAGGACTGCTCAGAACCTTTAATATGCTAATGCGCATTGTGAATCTCCAAGAGGGGGATATGGAATGCAGCATTCTTGAATACTTCTAATGACAGGGAGCCCACTACCTCATAAGGTAACATATTCCTTTTTTTTTTGTATAGCTCTAATCCTCAGCTCTTCATTAAATTGATATAAAATCCATTTTTCTCCCATAACTTCCACTACTGTTAACTACTTATTGCTTATGCTGAGGCCACTACGTTCTCTTGTATTATTTTTTTGTATAGTAAATATTTATGGTTCTAGTCAGGTCAGTCTGGATAATTTCTTTTTAATCATTAAATAGTATTCTAGTTAATGTGACAGCCAAGTCTAAAATCTTAGCCTTATTGTTAACTATGCATTTAAACATTACTCTCCAACCTCTTCAGTTTTGAATTTCTATGAGTTTTTAAATTTTACTGCAATGTTTTTGGGTGGAGTTAGAAGTGTTTTAGAAAACATGGTTGATTTTTGTAAGTAAAGGTTGAAAATAGAGGAATGTGTGTGCAGTCCATTTTGTCACACACACACACACACACACACACACCAACTCCTCCCCCAAAATGCTTGAGAACATATCCAACATTATCTAGCAGAGGTGATTTTTATAAGCTGGTATACTAGAAGCATTAAATCTAGAAGTATTACCATATTTGGGAGTGGTCTTTAAGATCAAGTTTGTCAAGCTCTTTTCTATTTCTTTTTGGGCCACATCCAACAGTGCTCAGGGCTTGTTCCTGGCTCTTTGCTTATGGATCACTCCTGGTGTGGCTCAGGGGACCATATATAGCACTGGGGATTGAACCCAGGTCAGCCATATGTCTGGCAAATTCCCTATCCACTCTACTACTATCTTTCTGCTCACCCCCCACTAGAATTTTCTTTTAACCGATGGAATGTCATCAGAGAGTTACTATCATGAAAGTGGGAAAACAAATATTGTGTTAAAATTTTTAAATATTGTCTTTTTTATTTGATTCATGTTTACAGAAGTTTTCTTTTAGTACTATTGAAATTTTGTTATTTTTGAGCACTCGTGATGATTGTTAACACTATATAAGTTAAAGTTAAAAACACAACCACAGTTTGCAAAATCTCAGCAAACACTGCAAGTCTGCTGTGTGACATCCTCTTCCCTGTGAGCCAGGCTTGTGCGCAGCCTTCGTCACAGTGGCAATGACAGGGAAAGGGGATGAGGGAACAATTAAAATTCTGGATCACACACAAAAAGTTAAAAACACTATTTAATCTTCCTGCTTATTATAATGCATATTAAGAAGTAATTTTTACAAATTGAAACTTAATATTTAGTACCAGGCATATGACAAAGATTCATAGATGGTCAACACCTTGTAGCTTTTAAAAAATATTTTAATTATTGAATCTACTCCAAATACATTTATTTATTTAGTTATATATTTACTTGGTTGGTTTGTTTGGGGGCCACACTGGTGTTAGGGGCTTACTACTGGATCTATGCTCATTATCATTCCTGATGGTGCTCAGGAGACCATATAGAATATTGGGGACTAAACCCAGATCGGGTGTGTGCAAGGCAAATGCCTTGGTCTTGATATTATCACTCCAGCCCCAACTCTAAATATTTTTGATAATACAGAACTAAAACCCTGGAGATTTAAATAAACCTATGGTATAAAGCAGCATTCTTCAATCTTTTTATACCTAGACTGCAACCTATCCTGAATACCAGTCCATAAACCAGCAGTTATCACCAAGGTGGTAAGACCAGTAGTTTTTAATCTTTCTTTACCCACAGACAGGCACAGTTCATAGCCCAACCACTAGTAGAAGACTGCTGGTATAAAGAATGTAGATCTGTCCATTTTTAGAGAATTTAGCCTGGGAGGTGCATTGGATTACAGATTTGTTAGAAAAATTATTGGCTCACAGGTCAAATTTTGTTTGGGAAAAGATTTATATTAAGTCATGAACAGATCATAATGTACTTTATCAGTAGACTCAGAGTTACAGCATTATCATACTATTCAAATCATGATAAAAAGACCAAGAGACCACATAGTGCCAAGAAGAAACAAAACAAAGAAAAAAAATAGAGGGGCCAAAGTGATAGTACAGCTGGTAGAATGCTTGCCTTGCATGTGACTGACCTGGGTTTGATCCCCAGCATTACCTGTGGTCTTCCAAGAATTGCCAGTAATGATCCCTGAGCTTAGAACCATAAGTAAGCTGTAAGCCCTGACCCCCACTGGGTGCTGCTAAGAAAAAAAAAGGGGGCCGAGTTAGAAACCTCTTCTTTTTTTTGAAATGGCTATAGACAAATCACCCTGAATGTGCCCGATCTCATCTGATCTTAGAAGCTAAGCTGGATCGGGCCTGGTTAGTACTTGGATGGGAGAAGCCTCTTTCTTAAGAGAATTTTAAAATAATATAGCTGCAAATTTCTCAGCAATATACTATATACTCATATTATATATTGATATATATATATCACACAGTATAATAAACTGAGAAGTTTATTAAAAAGTGTGTGTGAGTGTGTGTGCTGTTTTTTCCATCCAGTGTCAGGAATGTAACTCAGGGCCACATAAATATAAGGTATGCACTTCACTACTGAGTCAGATCTAGCAAAGCTGTTGTGAATAGATAAAGGCGTTGAGTATGTTAAGAATAGCATAGTACTTTATAAGGGCTCTTTATACAACTTCACTTTTGTTAAGCTTTGTAACAAAATCTTATGATGTAGGCGATACTGTCTTATTATCTCTGATTTGTAGTGGACAAACAAAAACAAACCAGAAAAGGGACTACAGAGGTAGCTTGGGCCAGTAGTGTGTGCCTTGCTTGTACAAGGATCCAAGTCCTATCTCTAAGCATAACGTGGTTCTCTTGGGTACCACTGGGTTTGGCCAGGCTGGCTCTTGCATTTGAACTTTCGAGCCTGGTTGGCCAAGTATTGCTGGAGGTGGCTCTTTATACTCCCTGAACATTCCTTGGGAGGTTCAAGAAAACCTCTGCTTCAAGAGGACACAGTGAGTAGGTACAATCAGTATATTTAGGGGGCTGGGAATGTTGTTTCCAGGTGTCACAGCAGCCTCTTTTTATTGATTTGTTTGGTTTTTAGGAATTTGAGCGATAGCACAGTGGTAGGGCGTTTGCCTTGCACACAGCCAACATGGCCGACCCGAGTTCGATTCCTCCGCCCCTCTCGGAGAGCCCGGCAAGCTACCAAGAGTATCTCGCCCGCACGGCAGAGCCTGGCAAGCTCCCCGTGACGTATTCGATATGCCAAACACAGTAACAACAAAGTCTCCAATGGAGACGTTACTGGGCCTGCTCGAGCAAATCGACAAACAACGGGAGGGCCTTTACCTTTACCTTTTTAAATTTTTATATTTTATTATTGAAGTTAAGTGCATTGATACCCTCGTAGTTTGAAGTGTAAAGTTTTAAAGATAACAAATGGTAGTTGTGCTGGGCAATGCCTTCTCTGGTAGAATTTTGAGTTGTTCAGGGTGGCCAAAGGTATTCTATCTTACTAAAATATGCCTCTTACTAATTTGTAAGTCTATTTATATTTTCCTTGCATTACTAATTTTCTGCTTATAATTTATTAGAATAAGTTGAAATAAAGTCTTTCATAATTTAGCAAATGTCTTTTATGATGTCTTAAACTATCTCCAGTTTTCACATGATGTCTCTATGAATTACCTGAAATACTGTTTTTAAAAAGAATTCAGCATGAGTTTGCCTTATTTTGGTAAGCTACAAATTGATGTGTATAATTTGTTCCTTGAGCTAGACACCAATTTCTTAAAATTGTTTTCCAGAAAGTGACCATTTAAAAGGAGGATATCAAGTGAATCTTCTAATCCTTCATAAGTTTTTCTGTAACAAAGCCACTACCTTTTTTACCCCTACAGTTATATTTTGAATTAAAGTGAACAATTTGCATTTAGAGTATTTACAAAATAAAACTTCTGCCTTTGTGTGTCACTAATAAGAAGACAACAATCTGATGGAAGAAGTAAAAGCTGTCAGCTCTTTATTAACTTGAGTTACAGGCTTTTTTACTCTCACATTTTTGAGCTTCCAGGTTAATACCATGGTTTATTGAGCATTTTATTTTATTGGTGATTGTGTGTGTGTGTGTGTGTGTGTGTGTGTGTGTGTGTAGCGATAGCACAGCGGTAGGGCATTTGCCTTACAAGCGGCCAATGTGGCTGGCCCGAGTTCGATTCCTCTGCCCCTCTCAGAGAGCCTGGCAAGCTACTGAGAGTATCTCCCCCGCATGGCAGAGCCTGGCAAGCTACCCATGATGTATTCGATATGCCAAACACAGTAACAACAAGTCTCATGATGGAGACGCTACTGGGTCCGCTCAAGCAAATCGATGAACAACGGGAGGATCGTGACCGTGTGTGTGCATGTGTGTGTTTGTGTGTTCTTTATTATACCTCAGTTAATTTGTGTACCTAAGAACTGGTGCTTTTTTTTTTTAATGAAAACATTTGAAACTATCCATACCTTGTGAAAAGGAAAGTAAATTATAGTGTTACTATCCAGAGATCATCTGCAGACAACTTTCAGAGTGCCACCTGATTCAGCTGTTAGACAGCTCTGAGTATTTTGATAAATCTGTCTCTCTGATTGGATAACTTAAAGTTTGTATTTCTTACTATTGAATGTGGGTGTTTTTTTCTATTGATTCTTCTTTCATACTTCTTCTGTGAATTGCTTTTTTGTAGTTATTTTTAAAAGTGAGGGGCCAGAGAGATAGCAGATAGGGCATTTGCCTTGCATGCATCCCACCTGATTTGATACTCAGCATCTCATGTGGCCCCCTAAGCACTAGCAGCAGTGATCCATGAGAACAGAGCCAGGAGTAAGTCCTGAGCACCACTGGGTGTGACCCCCAAACCCAAAAGAAGTTGATTTTGTAGGCACACTAAATGTATTATTGCCCCTGTATCCTGTAAGTTCTTTGTGTTTTTAACCTGCTGTTTCCAGAATTTATATAAATTGAGTTGTACAGTGATGTTACATATAGTTACATATAACTCAGCAAAATAATATGCTCTTTGGGTTATTGAAAAAAATTCTTAGACTTAA